GGAAGTGCGGACGGAACAAAAGGATTACAGAACTTCTTGCGTGGGTGCCAAGTGACGTCACTAGACGATGCAGCAATGAAAATGGTGGCTTTTGCAGGGGATGTTCTCTTAAACAGTCTGGCACTTGAGGAGGCGGAAAATCGCGTGCAGTTGCTGCAGAACTGGGCGTTGAGCTACGGTGTGCACACAGCTCCACTGCTGGGTATTTGCACTCGTGTGGCAAATGCAATTTCTGCCTCTGAGTTTGAAGAAATACCCATGCGCGTGGCAGAGATGCTGAAGAGGGAACAGGAGTTCGGTCGGTTACTCGGGGTTCCAGCGAAAACAGTCGGACCAACGCGCGCCGCTCTTCTTAAAATGGTAACTGACTGGGCGGAAAAGATTGGTGTGGAGCAGCAGCCGGATGCAGGGACGTTTCTTACCGAATTGGACTTTGCCCTTTCTGATTTGCACTCGGGCTATGCGTCTCTGAAAAACAAAATTGCTGCTATTCAGAACGAGCTATATCAAGCTCTGTCTGCATTGGAGACGGGGGGAAAGCAAGCGGAGCAGATTACTGCGCTCCTGCGGTCCGCCCATCCGACGGAAGAATTGACGGTTACAACAGCGACAGCGGGAGAGATGTCACCGTCTGGTATCCTTCAAGTGGCGCTCGCATCGTTGCGCTTGGAAGTTGAGTGGGCTGTAGAAAAGATTGTTAGCAACACCGAGCAGACGCGAAGGACGCTGGAAGTGCTTGAGCCCGTGTGCAGCGGCCGCAGTGTGCTGGAGGTATGCTTGCACGCAGCGGAAGAATTGCAGGAACGACGGTCGACGGAAGAAGTGCTTCGGGCGGAGTTGACGAATGTGCAAGCGAAGGCGGAGTCTTACCGTGGTTGCATTGAAGCGAGCATGAGATGCCTACCAGACTCGCTGATTCACGTCAAGGCAGGCGATGATTTGCAGCGAAGGTGCGCTTCCGCCAGTGCGGAGCTGCGCCGTCGGATGGAAGTTGTTTCCAGCGCTCAGCGGATCATTGCGTTGGGAGGGCATGATAATCACAGTGGTGACCTTTGCATGAACGTTGACGACATGCTCCGGAAGCTGCGGCAGCTGAAAGAAAGGGAGAAGATGCTTGAGGCGAATTATGAAAGTAGTCAACAACGGGCGTTGAAGCTTGAGGAAACGCTGCGGGCGACAGAAGAACGACTGGAGGAGACAATAACGTTTCAGGTAGAAAAAGAGCGGAATGCGATTATGCAGGAAAAAGAGAAGCAGAATTTGTTGCAGGCTCAACTCTCGGAGTCCGTTCATGAAAGGGAAAAGCTGCGTACGACACTAGCCGCCTGCGCCAGTGCCATTGGCTGTAGTCTTGAGGGTGGATCAGGTGGCAACGACGCCGCCAATCACAACAATAAAAATGGTGATGATAAGGAGGTGGCGGATTTACTGCGGGCCGTAAAGGCTCTTGCCTCCGCACACGATGCCAGTGTGAATGAACTGGAAGAACTGAGGGAACAACATGCGTTATCGCGGAAGGCACTCGCGTCCGTAAATGACATCCGTGCTCTCGCGCAGGAGGAGCAGTGCCGCCTTATGGAAGAGGTAGAGCGGCTGCGCGCTGAAATTATTGTGGTCACGGCGTCCAACGAGGAGCATCGAGCTGCGCTTTTGCATCTAACGGAGCAGGCGGAGGGAGTTGTCTTGAGAATTTCGACTGCGCACTCACCTTCCTCATTTTTGTCGTCATCCACCCTCACAAAGCGTGCTCCTCTTGTAGCTCAGTGCTTGTTAGATGCATGCAACATTTTTGAGGAAAACCGTTGTGCTCTGGAGGATGAATTGTCTGCGTTGAAGAGACTTTACGAGGAACGTCAACACGAGATGAAGGCGGTGAATGAAGTTCTCTGTGAGGCTCTGGAACTCACAGGGGAAACTAATCCTAGCGATACAATGCAACTTGGTGCAATCGTAAAGGAAAAGTTATCTAAGGCTCTAAAAGAGAAGAATGCTATTGCAGATGTGACGGAGGCGCTACAAAGCGAGAACGCCATGCTGAAGGCTTCATGTACCTCCACTCAAGCCAAACTGGAGGAGACGACGACAGCGTTGGAGCAGGTGGACACGCAGAAGCGAGCATTGCAGGAGGAATTGCGTGCATTCGCGGCCTTTGCTGAAAATGTCGCGGAGACGGTGGGTGAGCCGCTGCCTAGTGGTTCCACCGATCTGGAGCGCCTGAAGGTTGCTTGTGCTGCACACCAGGCGTCTCTGCAGCATCACGCAGAGGAACTTACGCGGGTGCGTGAAGAACTTGATGTCGCTAGCAGCAGCTCTGCCGTGATGAGGGCGACAATCGATGAGAATGCGGCAGAAAGAGAACGGTTAACCGAGCAGCTTCTTGGTGCAGAGCAGGAGCGTGAGGCCTTGTTGAAGGCTTCGGAGCAACTTGTAGAACGTGTGCAGAGCATACTGGATGATCACGTGGAGGTGCAGCGTGAGCTGACATTTGCCGGAGGCGATGACGATGTGACGGTGGTGGATATTGTGCAGGCGTGTGTAGAGCAGCTAGATAAAAATCGTATTGGGGCGGAGACCTCAAATGAGCAACTCGCAGCGCTTCAACGAGAAAACGCCATGTTGATGAAAGAAATTCAACGTCTTCAAAATAGTGCGGCGGTGAAATCCGGGGAGGTTACGGAGCTTCACGAACAACTGCGTATTCTGCTTGAAAGCCGACAGGTGGCGCAGGCCGATCAGTCCAAGTTACAAGCGGAGCATGACAGTCTCTCTCGTCAAGTGCAGGCGCTTTTTACCGACGCGTTGCATATGGCGGCAGATGAAATGAGGCTTCAGTTGCCAATGTTCACTGACACCAGTGCCTCCGGTGCTTTGCAAGGGCTCCGCTCGCTTTTTGATTACATCGCAGAAAAGTTCCGTTCTGGTGCCCATCTCAGTGATGATACGGAAGACAAGATTGAATCGTTAAAACAGTTATTGCAGCTGCAAGAACGGCAAAACGCTAAGGAGAACAAGATTCTGTACCGAACCTTTTGTGATCACGTTGTAGTTTATACGGGCACCAATTACTCAAGAAGGGAGGATGGCGATGAGGATAGCGGCAGCGGGAAGCCACATCGACTTACGACTGATTTTCTTGTTGCTGTAGGGGAAACTCTACACGGTGTTCACACTGAATTCCGACATGCGGGGAGGCTTTTTCATCGCCTGATGGGAGGCCCAGTAGAGCCATCGAGCTCGTTGCGTGGAATGACATTGCCAGAATTGGCAGCATGGCTTGGGGAAGCTGCCAGTGAGACAGTGGAGCGATCGGAGTTACTGCATAACGCCATTCGAGCCGTTTCACAAATTGTGGAAATATTGCCTATTGACCTTGCGTCCTCGCAGGAGCAAGTGACCGAGTGGGTGGAGAGCTTTTCCCTGTGGCTGGAACGAGCACAGCGTGGGGTGGATTCTTCCGATCGTCTACTGGAAGCACTCACAAGTGTTGTTCATAGCCATGGCGGTACCGTAGAGGAGACGTTAAGCACTAATACGACCATCACTAGCTTCAACAATTATAACAATAATAGCAGCAGCAATCATCATCATCATCATCATCATCATCTTGACATTGTGGACACGTCGCTACAAGATTTGAACAACAGCCGCACGGATATGTCATTCTCCCGGTACAT